AATCCTAGTAGCATGTATTCATAGCTCGGGTGAAACGAGCTTCTGCTGCTGTGGCGCTTCCATGCATTTTCTCACATGTGTTGATTTTTCCCGTCTTCTCATCCACCAATAGACCAGCTACTTCTCTCACGAAGCAACAACCAAGCAAACAGTTAGAGCATCTCTAGCAGGGACACTAAATATAGCCCCTAAACAGATTTTGGGTGTTGAGGCTAAAAAACTCAATCCAGCAGAGCCCCTATCAAGGATCCTAAATTAGGTAGGCACCCAAATAACCTTTCCTAGCCCCTAGTCTCAGGGGCTCTACTGCACAGCCCCCATCCACGGTTGGAAAAGCGCGGGAGCCGCCCGACGTGGTCTTGGTCCACCGGCACCTCCCCTGCCCAGTGCTCATCCCCGGCCGGTGCGGCTCCTCCCTGCCTACCATGTCATCCCTCAGGTGCATTCCTCTACCCAACGCTCCTTCCCGGCCGACGCGTCTGCTGTACCTGGAGTCTCCTCTAGCCTGCACCCTCTACCTGAACTCGATGAAAAACATGGCCCAGTGGCCGAGTCATGCGATGGCGTCGAGGCACTGGATGATTCAAGTGTTGTTGCAGGCTGCGAAATTGAGAAAGTAGTAGCAGGGTAGCACTAGCAGCTGCGATTGTGGGACTTAGAAGAATGGGGAAAGTGATACATGCGATGTGCTATGCAGCTTTTTTGTTGCTTTGCTTGGTTGTTGCTTCGTGAGAGAAGTAGCTGGTCTATTGGTGGATGAGAAGACGGGAAAAATCAACACATGTGAGAAAATGCATGGAAGCGCCACAGCAGCAGAAGCTCGTTTCACCCGAGCTATGAATACATGCTACTAGGATTTGCATTTCCATTTTATTTTTTCTAAAAGAATCGAATTTGAATTGTGAATTTAAATATGGTTGGATTATTATGGTTTTATACTAGGAGTAGCTAGAGTATAGAACTATAGATTTGTACTTTAAAGTATATGTTAAAATAGAAGATGAAATGAAATAAGGGGCGAGAAAAGGGACTGCTGCTGGAGTTAAAGATATTTTTTAGGTACTTAGAAAATGGGGGAAGCCCCCATTAAATTTTTAGGGGCTGTAAAATAGGAGCTATTGCTGGAGATGCTCTTAGCCTCAACATCCAAAATCTGTTTAGGGGCTATATTTAGTGTCCCTGCTGGAGATGCTCTAAGGGATGATCTGGGCTAGCCTCTTCTTTTATCTTCACAGAGAGGGATAGCATTGAGAGTTCGTTGAGCTGAAATACCCTTTGTTTTTTTTTCTAGATCTCCCATGTCACTAGGAAGTAGGAACATTAGGGTAGTAGTGTGGACTCCTTTCCTAGATGTCCCTGGGTGTGTTGCCATCACCGTCCACCCGTTTTGATTTATAACCAACTCTTGGTTAATTGATGGGATCATAATCACTTTTCTAGAGTTTTTTTTTGAACTAATACTTTTCCAGAGATGTGTTAGCTCTAAGCTGCTAGCTCGAAACGAGTGGCAGTATTAGGGAGACAAGGCGAGGCACGACACATGTGCTTCACTGGTGTGTTTAGGGCGCTGCAGCAGCTGCTGCTGCTACGTGCTGCGGCCACTAGCTAGGCAAGGCCACTCAATGCGGCCAATCAGCCGGACATGTGACGGCTCCAATTTGGCGCAGAGAACAACCGACAGCTCCAGCACGCACGTTATTGGCCTCATCCTCTCACCTCTCTCCCCTCTTTCCTCCCTCCCACCTGCACGCACATAAACTGTGCACTTGTGCAGTCACCACATTGTAGCTCATTATGTGGCCAACCCCAACGAGGCAACGACGCGTAGTCTCTCGATCGATCGTCTTCATGTTCATCAATGACCGCATCCATGCACAAACGTGTCACCAATTCAATTAGCTGGTCAAGCTAGTGCCAACCACACTAGTCGAAGAAACCGGGTTCCTTAAAATACAGGAATTAGTATAAAAAGATATATGATTAAAATGTTATAACTTGTTTCTTGTAGCAGGAAACAAAACCGCAAGTATTACACAAAATAGTTATTTGGATGCCTCGTACGATCGAAAAGTGGAGAAAATATAAGATTATGTGTTCATTTATCAGAGAGAGAGAAGGGAGAGATAGGTATATTGAAACTTTCAAAGCAATTAATTTGCTAGAAGAATTTATACAAAATGTGAAAGAATTTTTCCTAACATATAAAATTTCGAGTACTGCTATATGTACAACCTAGTTGTATAACTCATGTACAATTAGGGATATGCAAATAACAAAGAAACATATGTTTATATACACTGCAACCATTGATCAAATCCAGTTGGACGGTTTGAGTCGTATATATGTATATAGTAATAGTTTCTCAAAATTTTCTATGAGGGAACCCTACCATCCAAAAGCCTCTCAAAGAATTTTTTTTACCAACAGATTCAATTCCTTCATATTCCCTACTAGCTCCATCCCGGAATAATTGAATTCTACCATTCGAATTTATAAAAAAAAGTTATTTTTTTAATAAAGTGTGGAACCCAACAAATTAATTAGATGAAGATATACTCCCTCCTACCCACCATCTTTCCGTTCCCATCGCCTAATAAAAGAAGTTTACGTATATATATTATAGAAAATGCAGTGTGGTTATTAAATAGGTTCATTGTGATCATTTGTGTGTGTGTTGCTAATCTATCTCCAATCTTCTATAAATATATTAATTTATTCTGAGATGAAAACAGTACTAATTAAATTCCATCGATCCAAAGGGGTAATAATTGTCCGCAAAATATATGCAAACGTACGTGTCTCGCCCGGCTGATATATATACGTAACGTACCCTTTGGTGGAGCATAGCATAGCATGCATGCGCGATGCGATGCGGGGTACATGCTCCGGCCCTCCACCTGCAGTGTACGTCCGCGCAGGCGGGCGATTGTATTGATGAAGCTAGCTAGCCGCGGGGGAGACCGGCGCGACAGTGCCCCCCTGCACCTGCAGGCGGGCGGGCACAGGGGCTCCGTTTGCGCTTGCGCGCTGGCGGAGAAAGGCGTGGACCACGCGCTTCCCGCTCCATCTCCCCGCGCGCTATCGATCGCGAGATCGGTTTGCAGCCAGCCAGCGCCAGTAGGCGCGCGTGGGCCGGTCGCGCTCGCTCGCGCGATGTACGATCTCTTCCTCCCGTCCCGTACGTACGCGCGGGGCCGCCCGCATCTACCCATCCATCCCGCGGGCGCACGGGCCGCCGGGCGCGCATGCACCGTGGCAGGCAGCGTTTCGTTTCGTTTCGCTCGATCGGTGAGACGTACGCGCGCCGCCTCGCGGTGGGGGGTGGGGATCAGTCGGCGTTGGGGGCCTCGGTGTGCTCACGGATAGTCGGATGGATGGCTTGGTGTTGGTGGTTGGTGCCTCGATCGGGGGTACTGGATATATAACCTAAGCTAGCTCTCCATATTACAAAATCCCCACCCACGTACGTACGTTCCTCCACTCCGAAGATACGACGCGCGGACAATTTCCAGATGTTCTGGAAATATTTGGTACTCCCTCCGTTTCACAATGTAAGTCATTCTAGCATTTTCCATATTTATATTGATGCCAATAAATCTAGACATATATATATATCTATCTAAATTTATTGGCATCAATATAAATGTAGAAAATATTATAATGACTTACATTGTGAAACGGAGGAAGTAACATTGATATATACATGTATGGTTGTGGGACGTACTAGTGGTGTGACGGTAAAGTCGTGTGGGTACATGATTTCAACCACGGATTCAAATTTTATTGTACATGAATGTTGTGAATATGTAGGTGTGCTTTCAATAAGAATTTAGTGAAATGTGTTATGGACGTATTTGCGGAAAAGATATACATGCATGCTAGCAACAAAAATATCAAGTCTAAACTAGACTGATGACACACCGAGGAAGGAAAAAAACAAATACATCATATATATGAACAATACCTAGCTGCTATTCACACAGAAATTTGTTCAAATTTTTCTTGATGTGTAGGTAGATTAAGTGTAAACTTGAATTTTGCTGAAGTCTATATTTCAATGTTGTTTTTGAACTTTTTTAACTATTTGTATCAAGTTTGACAGGTGATTAAAAACAAGTCAAGGATATTCCTAGCTCTCGATGGATTAACCCATCCTCTGACCAGCGGATGACTAATTGACTAATTGTCACCGCTAGTAGAGGTAGTACTATTTAACTTAAGGCTATGTTTTTCTTCATAAAATCACTATCTAACTCCTATGATACTAATAGTGTTATGCCCACTGGAACTTTGACACGTGACTATAAATATAAGCATATTCTGCAAATTAGTAAGAGTGCCCCCACATTTGAAAACGTGTGTTCCCACGACTGTAAAGGAGTGGGCCACTGGTAGTAGCTGGATTGTAGAAAGTAGATCTATTTTTCTTCACTGTTAAACTATTTTAAAAATTATATTTGATTGATGAAGTTCGTCGTCGATGCTTACCCTCGGATTAACCCAATGCAATCCCTGATTGCTACCGTGCTACCTTGTCTTGGTTTTTGGCAACCTTTGCCGCCCGGCCAACCGCTAGCTAGCTAGTAGAACCGTGCACTGCATATGCATTCAAATGAAAGGAACTTTGTCGAGGTTATATGCATGCATGCCGGTAGTACAATTCGAATGAAAAACTTTTGTCTTGCAAAAGCTATATACGGTGACAGAGAAAAGATGTATGAAATGTGTACGCAATAGATAACCAACAAGAAATTATTTAGAGTGGCAGATCGAATGGATGCTAGCTAGCTTGCATGCATGCATTGGATGAGGATTAGTTGGTGGATAATCCTCATCGATCGATCAATATACCAAAGCAATGATTTATTGATTAATGATTCTAGGTTCTCTAGCATTCTCATTTTCATTTTTTTTAAAAAAAAGGTTCTCTAGCATTCTAACCAAACCCTACCACTTGCAACTTGCAAGAGCTTTATCATGGTGAAATTGGTGATCCATTCTTAAGAGCACACAATAAGATATTTTTATGCAGATGGCATGGAATGCAACTGTATGATCCTTGCATGAATATATGATGGGTCGAGGAAGAAAGCCATAGACATTAGTAGACAACAACTCAAACAAAAACGGAGAAAATTAAAGAAGAACAGATCAAAACCAGAGAAAATGCGGGGCACACACCGGACGGAACGGAAGCCCTACGAGTCGCTGGCGCTCATGCTCTCATGCCGCTCGTCGCCGCCGCCGCCGCCGCCGCCGTGATGCTGATGCTGACGATGCTGACTTGAGCCTTGCGCTCCATTCTGCGCCGCCGCGCCGGCGTCCGGCTGCGCGGCCTGTGCGCGGTAGGCATTGAGCGCGGCGAGGATCCCCGGGTGCCCCTCGCCACCCCCGCCGGCGCCGGCGAGGCCGAGCTGCTGCCCGCCGGGGAGCAGCGCCATTGGTGTCGCCGGGAAGTTCATGAAATGTAGTCCGCTTGGCACGCCACGGTACACTGTCGCCGCGCCGCCGCCGCCGCCGCTCCCTGACTGCGGGAACGTCCAAATCGACTCGCCGCCGCCTCCCGGCGGAGCGCCGCCACCGGCGGCCTGCGCGTTGCTGCTCGGCACCATCCACACCGTGCCCGCAGGAATTTGGCTCTGCGTGTACCCGGCCATCTGCTGCTGGTACTGCTGCTGCTGCTGCATTTCTTGCTCCCACCGCCGCTTCCGGGAGAGGTCGGCGGCGGCCGGGGAGGTCGACGCCGACGGCGGCGACACGTCAAGGCCGACGCTACCGGAGTGGAAGCTCAGCAGAAGCGGCGACGAGGAGGAGGAGGTGGCGGAGGACGGGGCGTCGGCCGCACCGCCGAACCCGAGGCCGACGACGCGGTCCCACGCGTCCGCCGCCCGCGCGCCGCCGCCGAAGCGAGGGCCAGCCAAGCCGGCAAGGCGGAGGTGAGAAGGGATGGAGAGCGACGAGCCGGAGGAGCGGAGGGAGATGTTGAGGGAGGTGAAGTTGGCCGGGATGGTGCCCGTCCCGGTCGCCGCGATCACCGCCGGCTCCGCCTGCTGCAGCAGCCACTCGATGGTCTCGCCGTCGGTCTTGTGCCCGAGCTCCCGCGTCAGCTGGAACACCCGCGCGGCGCAGATCGCCGGCATCCGGATGCGCCGCCCCCGCCCGTCCACCTTCGTGTGCCGGTCCTTCGTCGACGTCCGCTTCGGCGGCGCCGCCGCCGCCGACCCATTCGCGCCCACGACGCCGCCGCCGCCCGCCCCGGCAGTCTGCGACGTCGAGCACGTCTGCTCCTCCTTCTTCCCGAGGAGCTGCAGGGGGAAATTGGGCCGTTGCCCTCCTCCTCCGCCGTCTCCGGTGACATCCATGGCTACTCTCACGCCATGGTATATATATACACACACACCCACACAACCACAAAGATGAACTGATGATCTGATTGGTGACCTACAAACTCTTCTTGTGGGGCTTCCCGCTAAGCTGGTCAGGTGTACGTGATGATGTAGAGTGGTGCGGCCGCCGCCGCCGCCGCCACGCCGCCGGTAGAGCTAGAAAGAGATCAAGCTAGAGCTATTAGGGAAAACCAAGCTACCTAGCTACCTACCTATATGCTATAGCTAGGTAATTTGGCAAAATCGAATTGGTTTTTCTTCTGGTATGATGTGTAAGTGTTGTGTCAGGTGTGTGTGTGTGCAAGAGAGAGGTGAGCTTGTGGATTGGGATTACTATTTTATGGTGTTTTTTGGTTGCAAGAGGAGGAGGACGAAGAGGAAGAGAGAGGATTTGAGAAGAAGAGTGGAGAAGGGAGGAGCATATGATAGGAGGGAGAGTGGAGAGATGGGAATGGGAGAGCTAGCATCGAGGCAGGAGGGGGAGACGATGGTGTGTGTACTTTGTCGGGATTGGAGGGGAGAGATCACGACGCATTAAAGGTCTCTGTTTTATGAGAGAGAGAGAGAGAGAGAGGAAAAGCCGACCGAGGACTGATCAGGATAAGGAGGACAGGAGCAGAATTATTAGGTTCACTAAGCTGGCTCTTGTAAAGCAGTGAAGCCCGGCCCAGCCCGGCCCGGTTTTGCTAGGGCTAGGGTTCTCGTTTTAAATAAGTGAATACCATATATGTAAATAATAAGCAAACAAGTGATACTGATATATTTTCGATAAAAAATATGTTTTATCTATAATACTGTCATAATATATATTCCTTTACATGGAGCAAAGCATGAGCATTATGCTAGTATTACAATATATCGTCAATGGAGTGGATTTTAAACTCTCCAAAGGATATCCCATTATTGTTTGCATGTCATACAAATAGTTATGAAAAATTAAGAAAATTGATTAATATATGATATATCACTGCATAAACATGTAAGTTAAATTTTAACTTCCACAATCTGCAAAAAAAAAAGCTAGTTAACATATATTCATAGTCAAATTTGTTTTTTTTCTCATTGCAACATGTTGAAGTTAAATTTAACCTTGCATGCTTGTGGAGTGATTTATCACATATTAATTTATCTTGCTTATTTTTTAAAAAGAAAATTATAATCATTTGGATGACATGCAAACAATGAGAGGATATTCTCTCGAGAGTTTAGAATAGTTTCCTGTATTGTCAATGGACAAACATCAAAATGAGTGTCAATTTACCCATAGAAAGTATAGCATTTTGCTATTAAACTCATTGTTAGCAAATTGCATTGATGGCATATGAATTTGTTAGTTGGATGTAATTTAGTGTACAAACTTATAAAACGCTCATGTATGCACAATCTCTTCTGGTGTTTGCGAACCAAGATTGGATGATCATACCAAGTTGGATGTTGATTATAATGTGTGGTGCACATATGAGGAGGGAATTAGACATGCTATATTTGCATATAAACTTGCAGTTAGTTTCTACCTTGTCTTTTGTTTATATTCTCTACATCATCCTCAATTTTTTAATGTTTTCTCCATATAACCGATAGGCTCAACTCTACCTTTTATTGTGTGGATGCTGAAAGTCCCTTGTAAAGCCTAGAGAGGAGTGAATAGGCGAAAACTGAAATTTAAACAAACTTTTGTAGCGGATTAAATTATTTCTCAAAGTCTCCGGTCAATTGTTTGGAACCTTAGGTTTCAGTCAATTCTCCGGAGGTTCCGAGATGATATGGATAAAAACTGCTTTAACTAAGTAGCTATCAAGCTACCACATGCATATAACGACTCAAAGTAAATGAAATATCCCTTGCACCACTGTGGACTTAAAAGTCGATCAACACCTGTGGAGGGCACGATACCCGGGTACCTCACGGAAGGCCTTTGTGCCGTGTCACATAGAGCAGGCCGAGTAGCCAGGTCCATGCGGCTATCCTTAATGTATAGGAAGGGTCCCCACAAAAAAAAATGTATAGGAAGGGATAAGAGATAAGAAATATTATCCAATCCCATGTAAATAGATTGCACGTACCCAGATTATAAGGGATATTGTGACATGCATGCCGCCGGAAGCCCTAACGTTATATAAAGGGCTTCGGCAAGAACCCTGAAGAGTTACTCACACACTCCATTACACGTGCCATCAGCCACTCCATTGCTGATCTCCGCACCTCTCGACATAGATCCAATCTACACCAACTGCACTAGGGTATTACCTCACTCGAGGGCCTGAACCAGTATAAATCTGTGTCACCATCTCTCTTTGATCTTGTGCACCCTATAAATTATATTGCCGAACATAGAAATTGACAGGACTTGTTCCCTGGTCCAACGCAACTCCATCATGCCCACCCTCACCTTGGTGCCTGGGAGAGGAGCGAGCTGTATTATAAGCCCAACCATTGATCACGCTGGCGTGCTAAGTACAATAATATTTTACAAGGGTTTCTGACGAATTAGTCCTTAATTGCTATAGATGCGTCAACAAAACCATGCACCGAAAACTCACCATTTAGTCATCTTTTAGTTGGATTAGTCATCCTCATGAACCATGTGCAAAGTGTCACCATTAATTAATTCCTAGGTATAAAATAGAGAGGTAATTATCCCAATAGTGAGCTAGTTGATCTAACCATCCTAGGCAAACATCTAGTCACATGTTACCCAAGTCATCGAGGAAATGATAGTATTCGAACTATAGCTTACAACTACATATAGGTCATTGACATCCCATGTGAAATTGTGAAACAATGAATGCTTACTTCAAGTAAGCAAAACATTTGCTTAATTCACGTAGAATAGAGTCAAGAACAATAGTATAACTTGCCTTGCTCTACACTTGGACCTTTGCGATGATCTCGAAGTACAATGGCGCTTCGGAAACGTTAGAATATAATGAAACAACACATGAAACCAATTTATAATTAGTTGGACTTTTGGCATTTTTAGAATTTACTGGAGTTCATATGAATTTAGTCATGATTTTTAGAATATTCACTATTTTTTTATTATAAACAAAAAACCCTAAATCGAATTATTGTGCATTAAAGGGGATTTATGGCATCCATTGAGGGGGAGGCAACGCCGGGCTACCTAAGACTCATAGGGAATGGCCTTGAGATACTATCTCACTTACCACAATTCACGAAAACTCTTGTGAGAAATTATTGTACTTACCATAAGTCAGTGTGGATAATGGCTAGACTTATAGTATAGCTCAGCTCTCTCATAGGCACCAAGGCGAGGATGGATGTGGAGTTAGGGCGAACCGAGAATCAATGCTAATCGACTTCCGAATCTAACGTAGCACAAGGATGATAGCCTACCTGATAGGTGTGCCATGTGCGGGATCTCCAACCTTAGATTGGTTTGAATGGTTAGGGAAGACTAGAAGGATCCTTCCATAGTCAGTTTCTATGATGTCGTGGTGGCATGTCGGCGTATAAAAACGAGTATTCTTGGCTGTGTACATCCGATCGGATGTAGAGGCCGGGTTTATCCCATTTTCTAAAAAAAAACGAGTATTCTACTACAAAGATCCCACTGTTTTACTATAGATAAGTTATTTTTTTCTAGTTTTCTCTCTCTTTATCAAGGATATGGATTGCTAGTAAATAGAAATAGATTAAAATGTATCATAAGACTACGTACTAGGCACAAGTCCATGAGGTGGTTCAAAATCCCCATTAATCAAAGGCACATTTTATATGGTTGTCTAATACAACCTTAGCTATACATGAGACTCTTTAAAAAAAATTAAAAACTTGTATGCGATGATTTTCAAGTTTGCACCCAAGTTTTTGTTTCCGATATATATTTCCTCGTATAGTAGCTAATTGTAGATTTGCCTTTACCTGTAAGAAAGCTGGTCGGTCGATGCCGTGAGCCCAACTGGTAAGCTTTTCATGTGTGCAGCGTCAGTATATCCTCTTTGCCTGTCTCGTGTTACCGGCCATCAAATCGATCCATGATGTCTTTGCTGATTTATGGAGTAGTAGCTATGTGAATCCTCACATGTTTTCTTGGCCTTGTACACATCTAGGAGTAGCTATATATATGGAGGGGAAGAGGCCAAACAACTTAACTACATGTACAACAAAAGCAAGAAACAGGGGCCAATGCACATCTCTAGGCGCCCAAGAGGAGTGGCAAATAGATATGCTATATATGTGTACTCATGCCATAAACATACTTTTCAAACATAGATTTTTCACAATCACTTGTAACTAGTAGCGCTAATTAGTGTTAATCCTTTGACATACCTGGATATAGATATATATTGTTGATTAATCAAAGCGTAATTTCTTGGTACCTCCTGAAGACCGTACAAAATCCAGTTAGTTAACAGAAAATATTACTCTTCCAAAATATTGGATTGAAAAGTATTGCCGCTAAAATAATTAATTAAATTAAGGAGAAGGTGTGACCGTGTGAGTCAGGACCAAGGAGAGGGGTGGTAAATTGGAACAAGAATTGATCGATAGGAGAAAAAGGACACGATGAAAGACATATGAAATCACTTCTGTCTTTTAAACAGGCGGTGCCATGTGATTCTGGTGTTTCCTGTGAACCACAGGAATTGCTGTGTGGTCCATGAGTCTCCATCGTGTTAGATATATAAACCTCCTACATGTTCCTTTCTTACTTATTAGAGTAAATTTAAGGAAGCCCCCTAACCACATTCTAGCCTTTAATGAGCTAGCACTCCTTTTGGATAATGGAAACAATTTCCGACATCTGATCTACAACACTAGTAATACAAATATGTTCCAGAGTTACTATATTGTGATTGTTTCACATTCACTATAACGCTTATGGTGATAATCCATATTAATTTCTAATGGATCAGCAGATGCCACATGTGAATATTTATAAAAAACATCAGTCTTGTCACATCTTTGTGTATTACTAGAATTTCAGTATCACTAAGAAGGTTAACCACTTGAATAGCTCTGAATTTTGTTTGTGATGAGATTAATTAACTTGAATAGCTCTGCATTTTGTTTGTGATGAGATTAATTAGGTTGAGGCATATGTATTCATATATGGATGACTTCATAGATAGACCATGTATCCTTCTGGAACAAGCATTCATAATATATATTTGCAATTTGTCTCTTCACCCTTGTCTGGACAATCAATTGTTTGCTCACTACACTACGTATAATAATATCAGTTTGATTAAGTTGTTAGCAATGACTAATTGATGCATGAGAGGACATTTCTTATCAAAATTAACCGGGGGAGTTCACTTGTCTAATCAATGGCCGGCCCCACATGCAGGGAGAGTAAACTAACTAGACAAACACAAGGTAGCCATGCCTGAATTGCCATGAATACTGATCGATTAGTTAATGTGAATGTATAGGACCTAACATGGAGAGGAATGATAAAAAGCAAAAGCTGTTAGTTGTCACAGCCTCACAGGTAGGCAGAGCTATTTCTCCCACTACTAGTGCTCAATCTATCATACATGCAGACTGCCTATCGTCTTCACATGTTTAATGCAAACCAAACAGCTTGAGTGTAGATACATATAATTAAGGAACTATCACAGTAATTAATCCCATAGAAACAAGAAAGTCACAAATTAAGACAAATTAAAGAGCTCTCAGCATTGTAAACAATTAATAGTTAACATGTGCAAGCCTTGGTGTACTTATAGCAGCACTGCATGGTTTCCACTTTTTTTGGGGTGAAGATTTGATGCATGGCCACCAATTTTTAAAGCCTTTAAAGGGTTGAATTCCATATCACTTTTGTGGAAAAGGGTGGTAAAGAGGAAAAGATGAGGGAAGCAATCTACACATGTACAGTTTCTCAGCTTTTGATACCCCATCAGTCTGTAATAGTAGCAGCAGCAGCAGCAGCAGCAGCAGCATAGTTGATACTCCATTACATTGCTTAAAAAACTTAATTAGGAAGACAAGTTGCCAAAGCCTCCAAAAAGGAAAAACATAGTCTACAAGCAAATGGCAGCAATATTGTAAGCTGAGTGCCACATTATTTTAGGTTTGGACATGTACCTGAATTGTGGGTGAGTGGGTGGACCATCTTTGACTTGTAAGAAGTGTTCACCCGCACATCTTTGACCTGTACAAATTATCAGAAATTCAGAAGGAATCTCTCTTAAATTAGGTCCCCGAAAGGCCACTTGCAGCATAATATTGCTGGGTGCGACAACAATATTACTATCAAAGTTTGAACAGCATGATTGCTGCAAACAGTCTGCAGCTAGCTCACTAAACCAACACATATGTACGGAAACCAGCTTCCTTAATCGGCTCAGCAAGTTGCTTAATTATCAGCACTGATGCACAAGCTAATGAATTAGGTGCATTAGAGCATTACTATTTTTAATGATCTAGCATTAAGTTCCTAGTGATGATTATATATATCTAAAAATAATATTGAGATGCATGGCATGATCTCAAAGCTTGAAAAGTAATTAATCCTGATGTATATAACAACAGGGCGGAATATAATTCATATTCCCCAATAAAATGCCAAGCAAGAATATTGTAAGTTAAAGCAAGAGCATATGGCATTCAAATGATTGAAAAACTAGCTAGCACAACAACTTAATGATGCATCAGCTGTTCTGATGGGAAAAAGGTACTTAGTTTGTGCAGGATTTAAATAGGTAAATACTGCATGCCCTAATGAGTGTGCATGATGACTTGTGCCCTTTTCTTCTGGTACGGATAGGGGGAGATATCTTATCAAATCTCCTAAGCACAGCTGCGACTGGTGCTATGCTAATCATCGCAGCTTGTGACTAGTGAGAAGAGAGGCTGTCTTCGATTAGTTTACTGAGAGTCCATCAAGTTTCAGTAATGATCATCGTCTCTCGCTCTTTCACGTTGTTGATAGCACTAACTAAGACTTCCAAATTAATTAAACTTATGACATATATACAATCTTCGGCTCTTGTTCATCTTCTCGCTCTTCACATTGTTTGGTTTAATTTCCTAGTTCGTTCGTTGAGATTTGCGGCTGAATTGGCTGGCCTGAGGCTTCTGAATTCTGAACTTATTCTTGCCTATTTTGGTCGTCATCAACTTTTTGGACGGCAACCAGCCAAGCCAATGCATTATCGGCTGTGTTTAGTTCAGCGCAAAGTTTGGATTTTGGTTGAAATTGGAGATGATGTGACTGAAAATTTGTGTGTATATGACAGGTTGATGCGATAGAAAAGGACTGAAGTTTGGATCCACTTTGGATCTAAACACAGCCGATATGTAGTTTCTCTGAAATTCAAAAGGGGTGTCACTGTTCACGTCTGAAAACTCGATAAATATTCAGACTTGTAGCAGATTGTCAGATACAGATAACCTCTGCCTTGGAAGGCAGTGCCGCAGCCATCAACCAAATGAACAATCTGATCGAGATGACGACATCTGATCTAGCTCGTAGAAATCAATATTCAAACATTCAACAGGCCGACCTAAGATATTTAACACGAAAAAAGGGAAAAAAATACTCAAGCATATAGATAAAAAATTCAAGAGCGCTCATCTACCTGCGCCATGGTTCTCCGGCCGACGCCGCCGCCGCCGCTTGATCGTCCGCGCCCGCCGTCTCCGCTAGTCGCCGGCTTCCGGTGCTTCGCCGCCACCACCGCCACGGCGCCACCGCCGCCGCCGCCACACGGAGGGAAGCCGAGGAGCGTTGTGCTAGCATTTGCAGGTCCAGCACATCATCGTTGGGCCTTTGGACCACCCGCTTCACGTCGCCTAAGGCCCAACTAGCCCACTTCTTAGATGGGCCGAGAAATCTGGTCCCGAAGAAGAAGAAGCAGCCTGGAACCTTCCATGGTTGGCCCAGCGAATCTCACTGTCACTGACACCACCAGCGGCAGAGTAGCTGACCTGACCGACCAGCCATGGCCATGAACAGCGGAGAGAAAGGAGGAGAAAAGTAGTAAAGAGGAAAGGGGGGAGTGAGTCTCCCGAGCAACGGCTCTCCACTACTAGCCCACAGCTCCCAAGAATCTCTGCCATTTCTTGAGCTGGTCGATCCATCGGGGAGGGAGAGAGGTCGAGGAGGCGGCGGAAGGGGAGAGGATGGGGTCTGGATCTTTCCTCAAGCTGCTGGCCAACAACTTCGACGTCCTCGCCGGGTACGGGCGGGGTTTCTTCTTCCTTCCTCTTCTTGATTTCGTTCGCCGCCGATTCGTTGGCTGTGGCTCGTCGATGTCGATTTGGTGGTGGTTCTTGGTTGATGATGTGTGGGGATTTGGGAGAAGAACGAGGGGGGATGTGGGGAAAGTTGGGGGGAGAATCTTTGGGCGGTTTTTGGGTCGTCGTGGGAGGATCGAGGACGCGTTTGACTCATTTAGGGATCTTTCTGGCGCTAGAAAATAGGCCTAAATATATTTCGGAGAAATGGAATATGGGGCGTGTTATTCATTTGAGGATCCTCCTTTGAATTTGTTTGTAGGACAGTATGGCAGTAGGTGTTATGGTACATGTGAAATTGGTATTAGGCGTGAGAGTTGCGAGGGAAAGATTCTTCGTATCTGCGTATGATTATGCAGTGCATGGTGGTCGTGGAATGGAAATGAACTTCACTGCATAAAGCGACCAATCTTTAGAACTTGTCGTATGATTTGTGGAACTTTAGCAAGTTAGAATATGATTATTTGGAGAAATGGTAGGCTTATTTTTGTTACAAAAATTTTACCAACAGCTACTCTCATCTGAGTTCCTATTTACGATGCTGAATGAAACTTCACTATTGGTAAAGGTTTTATAAGATTTTTTTTTGTGTGTATACTATTGCTCCATTGTTTATTATGAAGTCAATCCAAAGGCCATTTTTTTATGGGTGACTAATGGAGCAGAGTTCAGCATAGTATCATAACAGTCAATGTCCTAATATCAACATGGAATGGATATCCTTGTAGTGATGCTTCCTCTGGAAGCATGAAATAATCTTATTTGTGTAGTAGTACTATCATGCATTGCTGAGTCAGTAGTTTTGATATGCACAACTTGGTTAGTTATCAAACTGGTGGCTTACATGCTGTGCTACCATGCAGTTGGGGATAATAGAAATGGATGTTCCTGAGGAAAAAAGTATAAGATAAACATTTTTACTAATTGTTTGTCGACTGCTGGGTCTCATGAAAATCCAAAAATTAGCTTGCCCATGGCAGGAAATTCTGCAGTGATATTAGTTGATGTTGGGTAGCAGACAAGATGAAATTTGAATTCCTATTTTTCTGCAAAAGCAGCTTCATTGAACTATCTGCTCTGCTGTCATGTGAACTACAATATTGTCTGTTATTTTTTTTATTATCATGGTAAGCTGGGGTCTTTATGTGCATTGTAATTTGTTGTTTTGAGAAAGTAATAGAAAAAATGCCTCTTGGTTAACTATAGTGCAATGTGATCAGTGATCATGACATGCATTATCTAGAGATTATGAAAAAACTTCGAGAGCAGGTGGTCTTTATTATGAAAAAACTTAAAACATATTGTTTTTGTTAATTATATATTTGAAGCTATTGGTTCTGAGGCAATTCTGTTGTTTTACCTTTGCAGGCCATTAGTTTCACTTGCTTATCCATTGTAAGTATTATTTTGTTGTAATTCAATATTTTGCCATTTTGATTGTTTGATTATTTCTGTTATTATATATATATATATTTACTTTTCGCACTTCTGCAGATATGCCTCTGTGAGAGCAATAGAAACAAAATCTCCTGTTGATGATCAGCAATGGCTCACTTACTGGGTGCTGTACTCGTTTATCACTTTGTTTGAGCTTACTTTTGCTCCAGTAATTGAATGGTAATGACCATTTTCCTGGGTCAGGAGATTTTTTTTTTGTCTTACTCATTTCCTTTTGTTTAGCATTTGATTTCCCTCAAAAAGTTCAGATTTAGCAACATAGCCTGTGAGTCCCTTGCAGCAGGGAGTTCATAATATAGAAGACCAATAAAACAGGATTGGCCCTGGTCTAGTGTTTTCCTTGTTTTTTGTGGTAATATTTGTGATTTTTTTTTTACTATTGATGCTGGAGATAAACATGTTCACACATCAAGAGGATAACAAAGGATTAGATATGCTTACTTCTGACGGTTGCTTGCAGGCTTCCTTTTTGGTCCTATGCAAAGTTGTTCTTCAACTGCTGGTTGGTCTTACCTTGCTTCCATGGTGCTGCTTATGTTTATGATCACTTTGTGCGGCCAATGTTTGTGAATCGTCAAATAGTAAATGTCTGGTATGTTCCAAGAAAAGAAAACCTGAGTAAACCTGATGATGTGCTATCAGCTGCGGAGAGATATATTGAACAGAATGGACCAGAAGCATTTGAGAAACTCATCAGCAAGGTATTCTTGTTCAAAACTAAAATCATCACAACTATTAGGGAAATGCAACTCTAGTATATGGATGTTCATGCTTTATTCCATCCCTCCAAAGTGTTTGAGGTCTATGCGAGGACTTTAAAATAAATATAACATGAGATGTTGATTTGAATTTGAAAGTTTGCATCAACCTCAAGGAAAACAAATGTACAGGGATGGTGCATATATTATCTTTTATGCAGCAATATATTTCTAAACGGTACCTCTAATCAATGCAAGGCAGCTGTACTTCTATGTATGGTCTCATTTTCTAGTGCTTGCTGCTTGTCAACATTCTAATCTGATCATTGGTAACATCAAGCAATTATTATTTGGTGTAACATAGGCTGTCAATTTTCCTTTCTTCTGAGTGCTTTCCTTAGTATTTTCCAGGAATGCTTTTTAGGTGTTCCTCCATCACTGTATAATTGCTACAGATATCATACTTTTTACTTTCGTTAGGCATGTTGGTTTATCTCATCTTTACGTTGCTCCTCTTTCTTAACCTATGCTTATTCACTCTTGTTGCAGTCTACGAGGCCTTCAACCTCCAAAAGAAGCACAAAGCAATCTATCTTGGAGGAGGTAGAATCTGAACACATGGCCAGGGCTGAAAGAGAATCATGGGGCGAAAATCCATTCTATGATAAAAATTATCGATGCTAGAACAATCTGTTGTTCACGACCACATACTCATCAGGTTAGCATAACGTTTACCACCAATTATAGTATTTGCACTTGTGGTACCTGGCAAAATCTAGGATCACATGTGGTCTTACAGAGTTACACCTCTACTTCCCAGGTTGCCGGCTTATCTGGGTTGAGGATAAAGCTTTCCATGTATCTGACTTCAGGATTTGTACTTTGATGCATCATGCATCCACTGAATGTCATTCAGTCCCAGTTCCCAGAACCAATTGTGCATTGGCTGAACTATTGTAAATAGGTGCTAGTGTTGACAATATCCCTTAGTTCTTAAATGATGTTATGTAATTCTGTTAATCTGCCTTGCGTGGTAGTGACAACCTCTGGACTTGGTTGGCAGTTATATTTTTCCCTTCTTGGAGAAGGGCCAGAATTCAAAAATAGTCCTGATATCTATATTCTACTGCTTGCAAGGCAGAGGAGCTGTTGACATCCCCTGCATGATCAGTCTACTCTGTCATTACATAGCACATTGTTCACCTGAGTACAGCTAGATCAACTCTTGCCTGATGCCTGACGGTGACACGGAGTTGGCTGTTAATCACAGCTTTCCATCTCTGTACAACAGGTGGATGCTGACATATTTTGTTTGGTTGTTAAGCTCACTACAGACAGTTGCATTCAACTCAGCCCGATTTACAGTTCTCAATTTGCGTTGAATTTATTTAAGACTTCCCTATGAAGTTTCCAAACAGAGCCACAATGTGCACATTGTACAACATAAACAGCTGGTAAGCTGTTCATCAAGTATTCGAATCTGATTCCAGTGGGTCTGGGCTAAGAACAAATCTCTGCATTTCTGCAACCTGTCAGCGATCAGATCGGTCACCAAGCACCTGAACTTTCTCCCTTTCTTCTTTTCATCTCTGTTTCAGCAGGTGACACTAGTCAGCATCCTCCCATTAGCTCATCTTCACTCATCTCTTACTGTGCCTAAGCTGAACTTTCGCTTCCTTTGACACTGCCATTTCCGACTTCTGCTCCCTTATTTTCCAAACTGTTTAATGGAGTGTTTTCTATAACAAAGTCTATAGAAAAGTTATTTTTAAAAAACAAATTAATTTATTTTTAAAGTTTGTTAAGCTAATACTTAGTTATCATATACTAATGAGCCATTCCGTTTTGTGTGCAGTATGAGCATATCCTAAGAGCAAGTTTAATAGTATAGCCAAATGTTAGCTCCAAATCATCTATAGCTAATTTAATAGCCCATTCATACAATAGTTATCTATAAATCTATAACCCGTTTTTTCCTCTCTCTTCTCTTTACTTCTCGATATGTAGTTATAGCTGACTTATAGCCTGCTATTGTACTTGCTCTAACATGATCATCGGAAAACACCCTTAAAAATTGTGTAAAAGGCCCAAAAATTGAAAACGTCGACAGTTGAAAACACGACGGCATTGTCGGCCATCCTGTCAATTAACGTACTGGCGTTTTGTGTGGCCGTTGATGGTAACATCCTAACATGCATATGCTTTGCTCTCCATCACGTATACAGTACAGATGAGAGCAAAAGAAGATGGTAACATCATAACATGCGTGCCTGCTCCCCATCACGTACAGAAGAAGGCGGCATAGTCTAGTCCACACGCACATTGCTAAACAATAATAACGACTATAACAATAACGGCAACAACAATAATAACAACAATAACAACCAGCGCGAAAAGGTCACCGTTGTTGCGAACTTTCTTATTTTTAAACGGTTCATTTCTTTCGCCAGAACAAAACGACACGTGCAAATAACCGTAACCGTAGTGTAACATATAGCGGGCAAGTACTAACTCTGTCGTATAGCCAAAAAATTCTTTATATTACGAGACGGATGTAGCAGTAGACAACTAGTGCACTGGCAGCCTGCAGTCCTGCACCAATGGCCGGTCAATTCCTCTTCCCTTTTCCACACAGGCAGCCACTTGATCTCATCTACCGTACGGTTGCAAATTAACCCAATCTATATAGAAATTAAAGTGTCCGATCAATCAGCATCGTCGTTATTTGGCACGAAAAGAAATAGCTAGCTTCCACATCTTCTGGGCTGGAGGTCATACTCGCGCGAGGACAAACGTAACGGTGTGAACACCATAATTCTTCTGATTTCGATTGGCTTTTAATGTGTGTGTTCAAGCGATCGAGCAGTAGTAATGACTAATCACATGGTATAATGATACTCAGAATGTGTCATGTACGCAGCACAAAAATTCGATTAGATTGATTCAGAGTTTCAGACACAGTAGTACATGCGCTGATGGCGGTGTATCGATGGGTAGCTAGCGGTCGGTCGGTTGTCTGGAGGAAAACAACTCGATCCAAAACCGCCAAAACAACAATAATTAAGCTCACAGAAAAACACATGAAAAGAACAAAGAGGAAATGAAACAAGAGGAGATCAGCAAAGCTAGATCAAGAGATACACACATATGACGACGATCATCGATGAAACAGCTGGGACGACTCTACTGCATCAAGGATTAATTAACTTAACCACATGTCATATGGCTCATGAGGAGAGATGAGATCAAGCTGGCTACTACAAATAATAAATTACTTAATTACTTAATTAGGCAGCCGGCCCTAGCTAGCTAGCTAATGCCCCTACTGAACTGAAGTGAAGTAGTAGTAGTAGTACCGATCATCAAGCCAGCTGCATGCCTTAATCATCATCATCATCAGTAGTACACCGAGATGAGTAGATTTTCTACTGAGCTAGATCAGATCTAGGCATATGCATATCATGTACTGTATGCATGTATACATATGTGTATATTTATACGTAGCTACAGGGCACGAGCTGCATTCATATCATCCTTCATGTACGTAGAATAACACGAGATCGATCGATCATCGAGGAGGAAGAACAGATGAGAAGAGATGAGCTAGCGGAGGAGGCTGCGGATGATCTCGGCGCCTGGGCTGTTGTGATCCATGCCGGCCATGAGGTCGGAGAGCCTGTCGCTGAGGTCGTCCACCTCCCGGTGCAGGCTCTTGATGTAGCTGCACGTCTCCTTCAGCAGCTTCGTCGTCGACGCCTGCATTTTATTTTGCATCCGCCATTAACAACAATAATTAATTAGAGAGTTTTAAATAGCGGGCTAACACATTTAACGGCAGACCCTCTATAGTGGTTAAATAGCTAGACCCTTCTCAAACAGCTGTAGCCGAAGATTTAGAACCCCGACAAATCTACACATCGTCGATCACTCATGTAGCTAGCTTGTTCATGCCGCTAGTGTGCATGGTGGTTATGTGAACTTGTGGTGATGAGAACGGTGAAATGTAGTACCTGGTTGGCGCCGCGGCGGCGGGAGCTGGGGAGGAGGGACTGGAGCTTGGAGATGAGCTCGTTGATCTCCTCCTCCGACACGGAGGAGCGCGACGACCTCCGGCTCGACATCGTCGGCGGCGGCGAGGGCGAATGCGGCTAGCTGATCGAGCTGTATCGATCTCTCGTTCCGGTGGCTGGAGCTAAAGCTTGTTGCAGAAGTGTGAGGTAGGAATTGAAGCAGAAAGGGAGAGGGGGCAGGTTATTTATAGTGAGAGATCGACATGTATGGGAGCGGATGCTGCTGCTGCTGCTGCTGCTGCTGATCGATCTGAATCTGATTGATTACTTTCGCTGGAGGCCCGGAGGAGGCGAGGCGAGATCGAGCTAGCTAAGAAAAATGATTAACTAAGACGATCGACGATGTGATGAGCAAAGACACCCGTGCCAGATCAAGCTTGCAGCTTGCTGCCTGCCTGTTGCGAAGAAAGGAGAGATGGGGGGCCGGGCCCACATGTTCCTCTCTGGCTCTTCACACAATCACACTGGATGCGCCCCCATGGCCCACCTGGTTTAGCCGCTATGGCCTATGGCCAAATAGGATATTTTTTTTCTTTTTTTTTATCTATTTCAGTTTCGGGAGGTTGGTATGATTAATTAAGTATTAGTAAAAAAACGAAAAAGTAGATTAACATATGATTAATTAAGTATTAGTAAAATTTTTTTAAAAAAATAGATAATATGATTTTTAAAATCAACTTTCCTATAGAATTTCTTTTAAAAAAACATACCGTTTAGTAATTCCGTAAGTGTACATGTGGAAAATGAGGAAGGAGAAGTTGGGAAAATGTTGTATAGAACAAAGCCTAATCTACCTCCCTTCATTTTACTAGTCATTTTGGACATCAATGTAGCCTCCAATGCAAATATTTAAGTTCTATGTTTTGCAAATATTTAAGTTCTATGTTTTCTTACTATATGTTTATAAAATCTATTAAAAATATAACCACATTAAAATTTTTGTTATGTATATCATTTTCTCATGTCAAATCTTAATTTTTATTTTAATTAATTATTTAAGGTTTCGATATGTGCCTATATGTATTTTAGGACAATATCTATATGAGAACGAAGGTAGTAAATCATAGCTGACATTGAAGTATAACTTTTTTTTCGGCTTCCATTGTTAAGACTCATTTTAGATTTTTTTTTTTACTAAAAGTATAATGTTTTGCCCTGAAATTATTTTTAGTTATATCGTGGATGTATTCTTAGAGCATTGTCAAGAGTTACCCAAAATTTAATCCCCTAAATTTCTTCTTAGGATTCTATAATTAGGATTTAAGACATGAAAATATGTTTCTCTCTATATGAGTTATCAAATCTGAGCCCGTAAAAAAAATGGCCACCTGTAAAAAATCGTTCCTTCCCCCTCCGTGCGATCAGTTACCCACCGCTCCACACGATCAAGTGCGGCCTCCACCGATTGGGAACGAGTGCCGTGCTGTATTTGTGAAGAGCGAGATTTTTGATATAGTGGGGATTCCAGTTTTTTTTTTTGGTTTTCTGACACTGTTGGATTAGATTATTTAAAGAAATCCAAATTTCTAGGGTTGGGTTTGATTTCGAGAGTATGTTGATGACATATACGCTCTTTAGCACAGAATACAACCGGAGGCTAAAATACCCTCCAATTAAACAAACCCATAAACTGCACACAACCAACCTTCCCTCCACTTGCCACGTGCCCTGCCTTATCGATTTGTTCTATCAATGCTTAGAGAATCAACCTTAGTCCAAGTGTCCAACTGGACTACAATGTACTAGTACATATTAAAAGAAATTTAGTTGTTGTACGTTATATATTCAGAAGTATGATCACATATTGTGAGTACTACCAGCCTCGTGCATGTATCTGATAATGCAGATCTTTTCCTTGTCCCATACCAATCTAATTATACATCCCATATATTCTCTACTCCCTGTGATCAATATATAATTAATTTACATTTTTTTGCGTCATTGACCTGAGCGGGAAAAAAAATAAAACCTCCAGACTGGTCATGTCTAAAATGTATTAATACATCTGTTCTAAAATATAAAATATAATAATTTTTAGCTAAACATGTACAGATATATAACTTAAAAATTATTATATTTTGAAACGGAGGTAATAATTCTCTTGCTTTGTTGTTGATGCACATCTTGCTAGCTGCATCATGCACGGCATGTCAAATTGTCGAGTGTGAAACATGCAATGCATGCATGAATATGCTGGATTAATTGTTGGCTAGTCTCTAATTAACTAGCGGGAAAAAAAATTCAGAAAGTCTCTTGCAGGTTTGAACAACTACACGCACGTCTCCATCAGGGGAAACAAGCCAAGTTCAAGAACCCACAAGATGCCCTTGTCCCCTCTATGCCCGGTGCCCGGACAACACCTCACCTCCATCACAACCTCGCCGCGATATGATCCATCGCCTCCCTTTGATCCCCTTGTCCCCATCTGTATACTCCCTCCATACTCGTAAAAGAAGTTGTTTAGGACAGTGATACGATCTCCAAAACACAACTTTGACTACTTATTTCTATAAAAATATTTATTGAAAAGTAATATATGTATACTTTTATGAAAATATTTTTCAAAACAAATCTATTCATATAATTTTTACATCTTTAAACTTAACAACTTGAGAGTTATTCATGATTTATATTCTCAAGATTTGACTTAAACATTGTCCTAAACGATTTCACGGAGGGAGAACTACCTACATCTACAATATCTTAACAGCAGCGGCCATCGATCAAACTACATTAGAAATCGGTCTATGATCACTGTCGGTTCATATATATTACGGAGTTTTTTTTAGAAAATTACTGTTTGGACTACTAAGGAAAACTTAGCACCCGATATTGATAAAGAAAAAAAATAGTGAGAAAACCCACGTTCAAAGGGATTCAAACTCATATAATGCAGGAATTTTTTAGAAAATTTTTCGAGTACTAAGGAGGAATTTTTTTTTTAGAAAATGTTCGGAATACTAAGAAGAAACTTAGCATCCGATATTGATATAGAGAAAAAAAGGTATTTCGAGTACTAAGGAGTTTTTTTTAGAAAATGTTCGGAATACTAAGAAGGAACTTAGCATTCGATATTGATATAGAGAAAAAAATATGATGAGAAAAACTGTGTTCAAAGGAATTCGAAAGCCGAGCTAGATGTTGTTCTCGCTATATGGGATCTTTTGAACTAACGTGTAATATCACCGTTGGTTCGACAAACCGGCAGTGATAATACAATACTGCTATACCCGATGTTGTTTTCTGTACTACTCCCTCCGTCCCATAATAAATATAGCGACCTAGAACTGAATAGGACATTTCATAGTACAATGAATCTGGACACACTACTGTCCAGATTTGTTGTAATATAAAATATTACATCCAGTCCTACGTTGCTATATCATGGGACGGAGGGAGTATTAGGTGACTGGAATACTCGGAACGTACGCCGTACCACGTGGCATATAGTACCAACATACACGTCGTCAGGTGTTGGATCGGTATCTGGGGTTGGAAAGCGCCGCGCACACTCGCGTCCACGTGACGGCGCGTGGGCTCGCTCGCTCAAGCTAGCGCGCGACGCCATCGACGCATTTATGTGGGGTGTCCGTGAATTTTTTTCAGAATTTTTCATAACCGTTTAGATGGTTTTTGAGCAAACGAGAGAACTCGAGGGGATTAGAATAGTTTCCCGGTGTCCGTTCGTCGGACGTACTACTCCCCGATCGATCGGCGAACGCGCGCGCGCGCGCCGTCCCCTGATCCCTTCCGTCCGTCGCGGCGCGACGCGGGCGGGCGGCAGCCGGGTGGCCGCAGGTTCCATCCCGTGGCTGCGGCAGCGCGCGCCGTCGCCGTCTCGCGCGCCGTCGCCGTCTCGCGCGCAGAGCGCGCGCCCTCATGCACGCGCGCGACGTACTCGTACCACGCGTGGGTGTCGCGTGCGGCGGGCGGGGATCGGGGGAGACCCCCATGTGAGAGGATCGATCGGAGTCGGAGGCCGCAAGTCGTGCCCGCGCGAGGGGGGGGGGGGGGGGTACGTACCCCGGCCGGTGTGCGTGGGCTCCAGTCGCGCGCGCGCCTCCGCGCCGCGGGACGGCGACGCGCGCGCACGCAGCGGTCGCGGTCACGGCGCCCCGGTTGACATGCGCGCCCGCGCTCGCGTCGCGGGACGCGCGCGGCACACATATCTCGGACTCGCGATCGGACACGCGCATATGCGCCATAACTCCCCTGCACGTTTCAATTCGTCGCGTCGCCGTCGCCGGCCAGCCTCGCCTCGCTACCTCTCATTCTCATCGATCCTCTCTCCTACTCGATTTCTCATCTCCGGATTATTCATTCGTGCAGTGATTGAGATCGATGCATCATGCATCCATCCATGCATCCAAACGGGGCCGGCCGGTGTACATGCTAACGGCCTATAGCGATATCGCGAGCGTTATTCCGATCGGTTGGGGGCATAATTGTTGCCGATAAATGCACCCGATCGACATGTGTCGATCACAAGATCACTTCGATCTCGCTACACATAAATATCCGCGATCTAGCTGTGTTGACCGTGTAACTATCAACCGTCCGTCGTCTTTGGAAGAAAAGTAACTATCACCACTCACCAGCTAGCTAGCAACAAAGTTAATTTCCTGCCCATAAGGTGACAAAACTAATTCTTCCTCTCTTCGGTCTTAGTGGTTCTAGAGTCCATCCTTTTAAAGATTCATGACAAAACTAATTCTTCATCTCTACCGTCTTAGTGGTTCTAGAGTCCATCCTCTCAGAGGGTCATGTGTGGTTCTTGGAAGTGTATCGTGACTCTGCCCCTTCCCGCTGTTCAGAGTTGCGTTTAGCTGCCTAGTTCTTTTTTTCCTAGCTTCAGCTTTTGTTTTGCTTTTTTCTCTCTTCCTTTAGTGTAAACCGGACTGACTGATTGCATTGTGTTACAGAAACTCTTATTTTTCTAATATATTAACGTGTAATCCTTTTACGCGTTCGCAAAAAACTAATTCTTCCGAATTAATTAAAATCTGTGTTATCATTCTAAACAACTACTGCCTCCGTTCACAAATACAAGAAATTCAGGCTAGCTATATACACCTGGACAAATACGTACGTCAGAAATGTTCTTGCTAGTAATATATATAAGGGGCATTTGCAAATTTGCTATTGGTTTTTTCAATATTGTAAGGATGTCACTCGAATGGCATTTTTAATGGTATTTTTGCAATTTTCTAGTAGCAGTCTTGCAATAACGATTCAAAACAGTGGTAAATTTACAATTGCCCCTGTATATAATTAAACTGGATGGAAATTTTCGTTATTGCACTAGACCATGCATGAGTGAACAGTAGTAACTAGTTATAGTACAGTGCTAGTGGCATACGAGATGT